AGTGGGGGTGCCCGGCAGGGCCCCGGGCTGGGGAGGGGGTGCTACATGCGGCGTGGTGGGGCAGGCGTCGCTGCGGGCCTAGCGCGTTCGGTAAAACGCCCCGTTGCGGTCAGGGCAGGGAGTTCTGTCGGAAAGGAAATGGCCACCGCCCGAGAAACTGTTGGAGGAAGGTGTTTCTCCGGGGAGGCCGGCCGTTTCCTTCAGGGAGGCCTGAGCGATGCGAACTTTTGTAACACAGAGGCCAGAAACAGATAATGTGAAGTTTAAAAGTGCTGAGGAGTTGCATTCATCATTTTTAATCAGTCACCATTTCATCAAGTTATCATTTGCCTGTGGGAACTGGACTGGCACCTTGCAAGATTAATCTCTGGCTAATTGAGATAATGATTATTAGCATTCTCTTTTTTGTATCTTCTGTGTACTCTATGTATAAAGTATCAAAAAAAAAATCTTAGTTGTGAAGAAGACTTCCAAAGGGTTTGCTTTGCCTAAATAAGAGATGTTGTGGGTGGTTTGCCAGTTGCTTTTAAACATTTTTTCCCCTTAACTTAAAAAAAAAAAAGGGAGAAGTAATTCATCGGGTATCATCTGAGTTGAAAACAAGTGTGCTGAATGGTAATCCTCACTCACCTGCCCCTCCCCTCCAGTTGTGTGCCAGCAGAATTCTTTGGAGGTCTCTTGTCTCATAAAGCAAAATGTGGGGTGGTGTGACAAGTAAGAAAGATTCAACCGTGGCACAGGGGGTTGTATTGTGAGGTAAAAGACGCGGGGTGAGGGGCCTTTGAAATGAAGAATGACAGTAAAGACCAGGACTTTGCGATACAGCCAGCTGTGCTACATCACCCCCAAATTTCCAAGTTACACCATTTGGTTACTCCAGTTAAGTTGGTTTTGGTCAGCAGCAGCTCTTGACTATTTCTATTAATTAATCAGTCACTGATATTTCTTCATGTCAGTGTTCTGAAAACTGTATGGCTCCTGCCTCTGCAGAGCTGCTGACAGCCCCTCATGCCTTCTCCCTCCTTCTCAGCTGTTCTGTGTGCCGGGTACATTTTTCTCCTGCATCTACCGCAGGATTTTGGAGAGTTACCTAGAGGAATTGTGTTCGTAGTAATAATTCAGCAGGCTTACCTCGTCTTCGCGCCTTTCCGGGCTGTATCTGAAGCATGTCTCTGGATGGTTCGCTCCTATTTCTTGTGGTTAAACCACGGCTGGCAGCTGAGCCCCATGCAGCTGCTTGCTGACTCCCCCCCTGGTGGGATGGGGGAGAGAATTGGAAGAGTAAAAGTGAGAAC